AAGCACGACATGAGCATGCTCACCACGTGACATTTGTGGTTTTCCCTCTTGATTTTATACATAAAACAAAATGTTTAAACAACTATTTAATATAGTAAGTTACTTAGCAACATGATGTATTGCTGAAATTAGTTGGCATGTATTCACAGTTTTCAAGTTTGCTGAATTAAAAAAAATGTATGCATTTTAGTACATTTCTCGAAGTCACCTCATCTTTTGACTCTAATCTTTAAACACAAAATTTATACGAAACCCACAACATGAAACGTCATTCATAATTCTGTTGAGTCAAATCAGAACAATTCAGCCACTTCAAGCATTCAAGACTTGGTTTGACAGTCATCTCAAGTCAGAAGCATACAGGCACTCCATGAATGAGTCACCCCTACCCGTAATGTGTTTCTGATTCATTGTGATTTGCGAAATGCATGGTAATATTTAAAATGTGTCGGATTGTGTGTGAAGCTGTTCGGAGGATAATTGACTCCTTCAGTCACTCTCTGATCTGCTGTGAATCATCTGCAGCCATCTGACTTCCTGGAAGACTATTTCAGGAGTTTTTAAACTTTTCCACATTGGGGCTAACTAGGAGCCGCTTGAGTTCAGCTTGTACAAAACACCTTCTGACACAAAAATGTTCCAAATGTCCCGTCTTTCTGTATCAAGACCATGTTCTGCATTTGTGATGGGAAGTAACTTGTGAGGCATGCTGCAAACAGATTTTTATTTTTTTTAAGCGAGAACGAGGCCTTACTTTAACTTCAGCTGAGGATTGGCTCTCATTTCTGTAAAATACACAAGCAAAACGCTCTTCTGTATGTGTGTGCAACATTATCTTAACTCATTTATCTCGTTGCATGTTCTGGTGTTAAAACTTCTTAAGGACTCCTTAAGGATTTTGTTTTTACAAGCAAAAACCAGAAATAACCTGAAATTTTTTTTAGCTAAAAGGGCAGCGATGCACTCAGGTAAACATGCGCAAGAACAGTCTTTAATTATTACTTCTTTGAAAAAATGCGGTAATGGATGCATGTGCATCTCCTTCAAACACAAGTACAGACTTTTCAAGAACAAGAACTTAGTCCTTCTTTGTGCTTTTTGTGTTTATGTGACAATCCAGACATAAAGCTGAGATTTTAGGCCTTTAAATGCACACCTACTGCTCAAAAACACGAGTTACTATGAAGTTTCCAACCACCACGCTGATTACGCGTTTCTCTAATATTCACCTTTTTTGCAGAATATAACCCTCATCTGTTTCACACGTCATCTCCCACATCTCTCTTCCTCATTTGCCTTCGGGTCCTTCCTCTCCCTCCCCATCGGGTCCACAGCGGGTCAGACCGCTCTCGTGGTCCCATCAGTAGATTTCTTAGAAACCCTGAGGGATACGGAAGACATGATGTCTGATAACATCTCAGTTAGGGGCATAAAACCTTGTCTGATCCATAGCTCATATTGTGATTCCAAAGTTTGCTTTTGTACCCATTTTGTATGTGTGCAACGCTTCTGGTGCACATATGGAATCAAGTTCAAGTTCAAGTAGGTTTACTGACGTTCTCACCACATGCAGTACATGAGGTGGGACGAAATACACAGGGTCCCAGTTACATCCAACAGTAGCAAAAATATAAAGTGTAAAAAGAAACAGTACATAAGGATCTAAGATATACGCTAAATGAACATGTGGAGCGCGCTAAAAAGAAAAACGTCAAAAGAACGAGTTTGAATTCCAAGAATTTTATTTCAAGGAACTGGATCAGGACAAAAAACTGTAAAGAGCGCAAACTGACCTACTGCTGTACATAATGTAGTCAAGCTGGAGAAAATCTTATTACAACCACACTGAACAAGTGACACGGCACCTTCTGGGAGAGAATCCAAGCATATTTACATGAGTCTGTCAAATCAGGCGCAACACTCATATAGATTTCAGAAAAAAATCTAATAAACTGTGGCAAAGGCCTATTAAACAAGCAGCCAAGCGTGTCTTCTTAACAAAAGGCCACACAAAGCTGCCAGAATCCCAGACTGATTGGTTGAAATATAATACTAAAAAAATGTGCAAAACACATCAGAATTACTTTCCAGCCTCGAGTGTCATATCTATGTTCGGTGAGCCACGACAACAGAGGGAGAGACGTGGTGATTAAACACGTGCACCTGTAAGTATCTGTCTGATTGACCCTTCCATCTGACCTGTGCAAAGGGCATTAAAGAGAAAAACACACATGCATATGACGCGTGTCAACATTTTTGCCTCAGTTATTTTTAATGGTGTCCAGTCCGATTTTCAAGCCCTGGTGCTCCTGGGAAAATATGTAAATGGTAAATTGTACTTATATAGCACCTTTCTATCTTATCAAAGCAATTTACACTACAATCTGTGCCCTCATTTACCCATTCATACAGCGCTCTACTAGATCTATACCAAGCTAATTTGAATCTAAGACAAATCAGTGCTTTATCACATTCATACACTGATGGGACACACATCGGAGGCAATGAGTGGTTCAGAGTCTTGCCCAGGGACACTTCGGCATGTGACTGCTGGTGGAATCAAACCCCCAACTCTTGCAATGGAGGACGACTGCTCTAACCACTCAGCCACAGCCGCCCAATATGAAATATGAAATAAACACATGTATGAACAACCCGCCTATACACCTGGGTTCTCATGACAGCTCTTCTTCTTTGCCTTCGTTAATTTATTTATTTGCAGTTTTTCATTTATTTTATTTATAGCACTATTTCATATAAAGGTATAAAAAATAGATGAGGAAAAATACATTTTGAGGTTGAGAAATACCCAAAGTATGAGCCGACTCACTTCAAGCATTAAAAGATCTATTTCAAAGTCAAAAAGATATAAAGATTATTTCAAAGCAAATGCACGGAAATGTATAGTTTGTTCGTGTTTAATCAAAGCGTTATTGTAGACCACACTGTGAAAAGACGATGCACGGCGCCTCTCTTGTCTACGTTTTTTATTTTTATTTTTATTTTAGAAGAATCATAAGTGGAGGAAAAGAACAGAGCTACTTGAACCTTTCCAGTAAATCTGTTAAAGCATCCCTCTGAGAAGCTTGGAGACCAACGACGCAAAAGATTATTTTTTCTGAGACAAAACCTTTGAGGGACCGAACACTCGCCGTCCTTGACAAGCTGCGGCCGATGGAAAAGTTTTACAGTTTTAAGTTAAAACGCCCTGCAGGAGGGATTCGATGCTAAGCTTCGACAGCATGTGGTGGGAAAACCTACACACTTCTGCATGAGAGCCTTTTCTTCTCCATACGACACTCAGCAAACAAGAAGTGAAAACAATCAAAATATTCAAGCATCAGAAATCGGGAGTGGTTTGCGGGAAGTCGCACATCTTTTCAGAAAACGATCAGATTTACTTGGAACTGTAAGAGCCGAGGAGTAATCTGGAAGTGATGAAAACATTTCAAATTAAACAGGCTGGCACATGTTGAAACTGTCTGAAACAAAAAAAATAATAAAACCTCAAGTCCACCTTTGCAAGCGTTACTTCCCCACACAGACTGTTTTTGTGTTCCAGTTAATGAAGGTGTGACAGCTGTAGTAACTAAATGAGTCAAACACGAAAGAACACAAACCTCAGCTGGATGCAAAGCTGCTAAAGCTTTAGCATGTTTCTAAGAATCCTTTAAAACGCCTCTTCGAACGCCAATATGATGATATTTAATAGGTTTGTAGGCAAACAGAGGCTGAAACCGTCTGTAAACCAGTCTAGAATACGTTTAATTTTAAAATATTAGCGCATAAATCTGCTGACTGGACATTTTTTTCTGACTTGGCATGTTATAAACGGAGCTGAAAACAAAAATTTGAACACTGCCCCTCGTTTTTTAGCGTTTATTTTAAAAGTTTTACTTCCTTTCTTGAACAACTCTCACACTTAAGTAGGTTTCCTCCACTGACTTGTGCTCATTTTGCAGAGGAAGAGACACCAGGACGCTACAAAGTGACAAAAACTAGGTGCTCGTGCAGCAAAAAAAAAAAAAAATTGTTGCTGGGAATGTAGCGTGCTTAGACAGAATAACAGAAATGCAAATATACTACCAGGTCATCTTGGTGATCCTGCTCTTTTAAAATAAAAAATAAAAAATCTATTACATTTCTGGCCTTAGCATAAAAATACTCTGCAGATGCAGCTTTATTACACTTTCATCCCGTCAGCGGTCAAGTCTGCATCTTCTATTATTAACATTTCCATTAATTAACGTGATGACAAGCAGCAAAGATGCACTGACGTCTCAAGAGTGGCTTCATGTTGCAGCTTCTTCACGTGAGGCTCATTTTTTAGAGGTTTGCATAGTTTCACAGTTGCAGTTTAGGAACATTTCAACTGTTGCAATAAATGCAGTGACATATTGTTTTATACAGATCCATGCTGATTTGGAGCGTACAAAGACCAGAGAGAACGAGAGAGCGCCCTCTGATATATGAAGCGGTTTTTAAACTTTTACAATAAGCTTGAAAAACAGAAGATCTGAGATCATTTTGAGAATTTAAACCAGTCAAGGTAAAAGTCCTCACACCAGCAGCTGAAGAGAAATAGACAGCCATGGCCTGAGTTTGATGTTACATAATCACCATGGTGACCACTGATGGAGTTGCACTAAATACCAATTAATAAAAAAAAAATAACTTAAAGCGCTCTTTGGCTCCAAAATGCACGTCTTTTGCTTTCAGGATTAGTGGCACAATTGCTGAATATAAAGTGAGGCGTGGGGGGTTCGACAAGACTATTTCTGAGTAACAATTATGATTTTTGTGCAAAAACATCTGCGCCAGTCCAGAGACAGACAGACCCTTTAAACTCCACGCGCGCACATTTTCCGCCATAAGGATCAAAAAGCCGCTTGCGGCTAAAGCTGAACCGCCTTTGCGTCGCTGTGGGGTTGATAAACACGTACATCCGTTTTAAACAATAAAGCAAACAAAAGTTGGCACGGTTTGCACAGCATACTCACGCTCTCCGTTATCTCGGACGGGCACCCACCGCAGCACGACGACTAACCACCAAGTTGGACTTCGCATAACGGAAATGTGTCGAGAGGCAGCTAAAAAAAAGTAGCATCTAGACGTCGGAGAGGAGCAGAACAAAAGTGGACTTTAGCGGAAAAGGTGCAGTTTGAAAAGCCCTTCGCTTTCTCTCTCATGGTGACTGCACGCGCCCGGTCCTCGGAAACAGAAAGAGGAAAGAAAAACTTTCAAACACCAAGTTGACGCGGAAAAAAAAAAAAGAGGCTACCGCTCATTTCCGCTGTCATAAAAAAGTGCCTCCGTCCAAGAGTTAGCAGAAGCTCCGTCAAGACAGCGGAAGTGTAAAGTACTACTTCCGCTTATTATGTTTCAGAATAAGATACCAACGTGTGTCAAGTTTAGGTCATGCGCGGGAAGAAACACTAAAAAATGTTTTCGTGCCCTAATTTACTACTTAAGCGTATTGTCATCTACAAGTTTAGCACTGTATTTTAAAATTAAAATGTCTAAGTATCACATTATTATTATATTGGGGAAATCAGTCAAATATGTTTTAATGTAATGTATTTATATGTATTTTTTTGTTGTGTGCTTTACTTGTTTGTTTCTTCTGTGCAGTACCTTGTTGCTGTTTTAAATGCTTTATAAATAAAGTGGTATGGTTTTCATTCATTCAACCTTTATTTATACAGGTTAATCCCATTGAGCCTCGGGGACTCATTTACAAGAGAGACCTGATTTTAACAAAGAGTGATGACAGCAGTGGAACAACAAAGACAAAAATAGACAATCATAAAGGGTGCGTACAAATTTAGATTTTTTTTAAATACGTGAAAATAAAATGGCATTTAAAAGAAAACGTAACAACAACAAAAAGTTAGGTTGTAATGCGATGTAGAAAACTAAAAACAAGAAGAGTATGGTATTAAAGGGATGTCCCAGATCGGTGGCAGTTGGCAGAGAAAAACGTGAATTTCAAGATATATTAGAAGGGTTAAAAGAGAAAGGATTGTTATTGTAGATATACCTGCTCTAAAACATTAAATGTAGATAAGGAAGAAGAAAGATTACGTTATTTTAGGACATTTTTTTAACACAAATCTCCATCACAAAAAATAAATAAATAAATAAATACTTTATTCACTTACATTGCACTGCATTCTGATTCATTCTACCAGCATATGACACAATGTCCATTTGAACAATTCATACTTTTCCAGATAGATTTGCAAACATTTCAGTCAAATTTTGAGTAACAACAAAACATCATAACTTCCTATATATTTGTAGTACATGTACTTTACTTATGTGCATGTTTAAGTAAATGTTTCTTTTTTTCTCAATTAAAAAGTTAATATTTTACAAACAAGTAAGGAAGCAACTCAGTCTGGGATCTTTCACCCTAACTATTTTCTGCAGAAACATATTTTATATATCATTACTGGCCCCCAATATTTCTTACTATGGAGTGAGAACTGTATCTTACGGGATATCTTTATTAAAATAGCTGATTTTACATTGCAGTGAGGTCACCACACAGCTGAACATTTGAGGGTTTTGGTTAAGACTTCTCACTAGCTGAAGTTGAACAAGATGCGAATGTGTTTTACTTTGAAAGTCCAAGACAGGAAATGGATCTACTGCTGTTTTGCGCAGCAAACTGAAACACGAAGAACGGAATGTGCAAAATGCAGAAACTCTGCAAACCTAAACTACAAGCCTTACTGTCGATAATGGATGTATGTAACTGAATTGAAAGAGTTGTGTGATTTTGCTAGTACTTTGTGGCACAAAAAGGTCATAAAACACGATTAATTTTTCTTTATTTCCTCTGGCTCTCACTCTGGTCCTGGAGTGTCGCATCTCCTGCAACTCAAAACGAATCGACAATGACGTGTGATGGATGTATTTACGCTTTAACAACGAGAAAATGTGGCCACGCCTTCAATAATTAAAGTCTTTTTAAGTTTTGGTTCCTTGTGTGTTGTGTGGATTGTTTACACAGGGAACGTCTACCTGTCTCAACAGGTGTGAAGCGCTGATAGCCACGAGGTCAAAGGGTAAATGTATAGTTGTTGCACAGCGACACCCTGTGGCGATAAAGCGGCATTACACCAGGAGGGTCCGCAAATTAAGGCTCCGTGGCTTTTTGTAACTTTGACCAACAAGAAGTAGAATGGGAAAAAAAGGAAATTTAGTTTGGAACCACAACAAGAAAAGCTAATTTTGAATAAATAAAATAAAAACCTGAGCATACTGATTATTTTAAGATAACAAACATATCAATCTATAGTTTGTCAGCCACTTTAATTTAACTCCCAGCCATAGTTTTCTTTTTCTCTGACATCAAAATTTCAGAGAAATTAATTAAAAATTATTTGGATTTAGGCGTTCTACAAAAATATGACAAGTTATTCAGACAACAATGAGAATTAATCTTAAAGGCCAGTCATTCATAAACTCATGAAAAGTGTAAGTAAATGAATATAGAGAAAATAGAAATCTTTAGTACAATAACTACTATTTTGCTAATTCATATTTTCAGTATTTCTTATTGTACTTTAACTACCTCTTTATATATATATATATATATATATATATATATATATATATATATATATGTGTGTGTGTGTGTGCTTTGTTGTTGTTTTTTTATGTGTATGTTTTGTAAATGAAAGCAGCAAGCATCTACTGAATTTCTTTTGGGATAAAGTTGTCTTACCTTAAAAATTAATTCAATCACCAATTCCAGCAAACTATCCTAATATTTATATTTAAACTACCAGGACGCACATGTAAGCTTTATTATACTTACTTGCTATATTAACTTTCTACAAATATAATACGGGCTCTTACAGGCTTCCATAACTCAAGTGGTTAAATTTGATCAAATGGGGCGATAAATAAAGGGTTTTCTTGTCTAGATAAAAGCTAGTTTTTTCCCTCTGTCCTAAAATGTAAAAATACTGATAAATTTCAAAGTTTATTTTAGTTCCTTAATTTCAGATTGTTACAAAGTAGGTTTTTTTATGTGTAATATATAGCTACATCTTCATGTAAAGCTGCAATATTCTTTTTTTTACTTTCTTTCAATCTTATAGGTTTTTTTAGCGCAGGACAATTTTTATTTTATTTGGGGGGGGGGGGGGCACGTTTGATGTAAAGTCTATTTAGACGGAAAGAGATACTCAAACAGATTATACGCACTATAAAACTCACACACCTAAAAAAAAAATCACCTAAGCCAGCAATATTTAGCTAAAGGCTATTCGGCTAAATTGCTCAGGGGCACACTCACTGAAAGCCAACATCTGGCAGTAAAATCACAATTTCAATTTTAGTTTTATTTTAAATGAAATCACTGGCAGGTGGACTAAAGATCATCTACAGTATATACCGTAACAGGATTAACTTTTTTTTAATGTTTCTCCCACTAGTTTCTATTTTCTGATTTAAAATCCAGTTTTATTAAATTAACATTAATGGTCTGGACTGAGATCACCTGCTGTCCAGATGTGGCCCCCTGACTGACAGCCCTGGCTTAGATTAATTACACTCAGACCTTTATAATATAAAAATGTTTATTGAGTTGTTCACACAAAACACATATTGCTGCGTACCGTAGCAGAACATTGCATTATTACTTGTTCCTGTAATGCTCTCAGTGTGTATTAGAACACTGAAATATGCTACTAGAATTATATTTATTTATTTAAAAAAATGTTAATTGTGCATTTTTCATTTGCTGCTTTGGAAAAAAATTATGAAATGAACATATATTCACAGTTTCCTTAAGCCTGATAACAACGGCAGTTTGAAAAAAAAAAAAAAAAACCCAGCAAGAATACATTTAGATTTCTTTAAATCATTCATGTTGATAGTAGTGTTGATACTAGAAAGTTCCTGGAGAAACTTAGACGGGGACAGCAGCGTGGCGGCCATTTTAGAGTTCCGTCAGGTGTTTTGAATAAGAAAAATGGCGTATTTGTTTGCGAATTATGTCGCACTCAATAACGACAATAAAAGTAATAACACACATCACGATGCCGAGCTGGTCGTTTTGATACAAGATTTGTGGGGGTACACGTTGTGGTTCGGGCCACATTAATGTTGACAGAAGAGTAAGATATAAAGTTAAGAAACCCTTGTCAGGTGGATAATAATAGGCGGCTGCTGCTCTAGGCAGACTCCAATTGGCATTTTAAACAGCAGTAAACTGTTGTCGCTGCACAAACTGTGTTTAACATGCAAGATAGCGCTGATTAAAAGCTGCAGTCATTGTCAAAAAAATGTGATTGCACCGAAGTGATCCTTTGGCAAGAAGTGGAGGACATGAAAAACAATTGATAAACAAAAACAAAATCAACGTGGTCATGCAGTAACAGCGTCAAACGCACAGTTCTAAGAAAAACATACACAACTTACTCATCAGCCTTAAGACATATCTATGTAAGCAGAATACTTTTTAGATTGCGAGGATTGATACTTTTAATTTCCAACATGGAATAGCAAATATTCAAACCTAAAACAACACGGTTAGATGTTCTAAAACTGTACAGATGTGTGCTTTTTTCCCCCTTCAGTAACATACAGGTTAAAATAATGTAAAAAAAAAAAATCTAAATGTACGAGTGGTTTCATTAAAATGATTGTATAAAATATTATAAATGCGATACAGTGGCACGAGTTGACAAACCACCTCTTTTCAAGGAAGTCAAGATTTAAATAAGAACTAAGTAACGAGTGCTCTTTTGACACGGCAGCATCTGCTGGCTAACAGCTAAAAATAAAGGATGTCTCTTTTGAGAGGCACCATCAGCCGGATGCTCTGATTTTAGCAACCACAAGGACCCTCAGGTGGACAGCAGACACCACTTCAGTCTAGATGTTAAGTTGGTTTTAATTGTCCGACAGCACCAACAATGAGCAACAACAACCTGAGTCAGGTACATTTACCTTCTCTATAATCAGTAACTGGGAGTCTTTCAATTAAAAAATGTACTTAGCTGAGGTTTTGTTATTAATACGTAGACAACTGTATGCATAATATAGAGTTTTAATTAAAATACTCCAAATTGATCGCATGAGTAAAAGTGGCAGCTTGAAGTGCAGAAAAGCTAAACATTGGCAATAATTGGTTTTTTTTTTTTTAATAAATGAAATATTTTATATGACCACTGGAGGCTTAGCTCCTGTAAGGAAAATATATATATTTTTTTTTTACAGATGACCATTTTAATATAGTACAGTGTTATTATTATTTGTAAGTATTATTAAAAAGTGTGAAAACAGCCAACTTTGTTTCTTTAGATTGGGAAAAACAAGACTGACTGATTCACCAGTGCCACTCGAGATGTGAACGTGGTCTCAAAACATTTGCCTTTTTAACTGTAAGACTGAGATTTGCAGTCGTGAGTTTTTGTCTGGTCGTTTTCAGAAAGCACTGCTGAATGATCAGAAAGGAACGGAAGGAGAGATTACTGGCTCTGCAGCCACTGCGCTCTCAGTTCCTCGACCTCTCTGCCGTACCAGTCGTGGAGTTTGGCGAAGTAGCCGGTGTCAGGGGAGACCGAGCTCTCCAGCGACGCTCCGATCCTACGCGGTGGCACCGGCGGAGCCCTCACTCCATCTGCCCCGCAGCCAGTTCCATTCCCAGAGTCAGCGTTGCCTTCCCAGGCGATGCAGGACGACACCCCCTCAGAGGAGCCGTTAGCCAAGGCAGCTGGTGGTTTACTCCACGCTACTCCGTTCTCCCTGGAGCTCCCAGAGGAAAACTGCACCTCATCCTGGAGGCTTTTCTGGGCAGAGAAGATGGCTGTCATTGAAGGGGCACTTGATGATGATGATAGGGAAGATGAAGATGACGAGGAAGAAGATGATCCAGACTTGGACCGTGCTATCTGATTTCTCCGGGTAGATTTGGGCCTGCCCTGCGGACCTCCTGCAGCCTCCTGGATCTCTTCCAGCTGCCTCTCCAGCTCCTTCACCACCAGCCTCATGTAGTCGAAGCTGGCCCTCGACAGCGCCTTCACCCACGACTCCATGGCTGCGTGGTTCTCAGCCGCCATCTTGTACACCCGCGCCTTGGCAAAGTCGAACTTGATAGCGAAGGCGAACTCCTCGGCTGATTCACACAGCTCCACTGTGCACCCTTCAAGAACGATGACTCCGATAGGCTCTCGGCTGTCACGCTCCTCAAAGTAGAAGAGCATGTTGCCCTTCAGGATGAACCAGCGCCGGTGGTAAGCGGTGTTGCGCTCACCCTTCTTGAACAGGAAGCCCGTTTTGTCCGGCGGTGTGTCACAGGTGGCATAGTGAGCCACACTGCGCTCATTCAGCTTCATCTTCTCCCCTACAAGTTTACCTGAAAAACATCAAAAACTGTCAATGATCAAAGTCATAACTGGGGTTAGCTCAAAGCTACTCGTTGCAAACTATGACATCAATGCAGGTTTGCGCTGAAGGTAAACAAACCACTCGGTTGAATCTGTTGAAAACCCTGTGGAGGCTTGAGTTGACTTACATTAGACTGGCTGTGGTCAGTTATATTTTACACACTGCTTTTGTTTTTAAGAACAGGCAAAATACACGCCACTTTCAATTTCATTTAAAGTGAGTTGGTTTTAAACCTATGTGACTCCACATCTGAGAGCAAATACATTGAAGTTTCCCAATTTTGTAGAATTGCGTCGCTCGTGGTGGCTGCATGTTGGATTCATTCATTTATTCTGAATTAATGCTTTTGAAAACTTTAATTCCTCTATTTTCTGGATATAAATCACTTTTTTCGGATGATTATCTCCTCTGGTATCGGATGCTGCACAGCTGGAAGGCTTTTTACTGAAACCTTTTTACTTTTGGGCATTTGTTATGACGTGTAACCATGGCAACAAGGTGTTTTTTTTTTTTTTAACAACCAGGAGCAGCTGATTAACATTGCAAAAGCTCAAATACCTCAACTACAGCCCCAAATCCCAAATGAGTTGAAAAGGAGGCACCGGGATCATCCCCCGGCGCCTTCAGCTGTCTGTTCGTGACGACGAGGAGCTCGGCAGACTGCTGGATGGAGTGACCATCGCTCAGGGAGGAATTCTGCACGGCATGCAGGAAGTCCTGCTGCTCAGGAGGACCGAGAGGCCCGTCGGCTCTGACAGCAAGCTGGATCCAGGTGGACGGATCAGTATCTGTGGCCAGATTCTTCAGATTCGCTGCAGGAAATCCTTCCTGCCCACAGCTATCAGCATTTATAACTCTTGAATGGAACCAGGATGATGAGCTACGACAACACTTAATTTGCCTTTGGGATTAATAAAAGTATTTTTGAATTGAATTGAACTTCACCTTAAACAACTTCCACAGAGGCCACCATTTTTTGACCTATCCAGTCACTTTTGTTCATTTCCATAGGTAAACAAGGCAGATGGCAGCCAATCACAAATTTTAAATTTAGGGGCACATTAACAATCAGTTTGAGAAATGTTGCTTCTTGCTTTATGAATTTATTTTTTAGACCTTAAAATCCCTACGGATGCCATATAAGTCTGCAGCTTCTTCTTCCAGCATGGCTGTACAGTCCAAAGGTTTGACGTGTTCCAGGTGTTAGAAAATAACCAGACTCTGCTTTAAACCTTCGCCGCATCTGCTAGTCTCCTCCCCAATGGAATACGATGCCAAACGGTGTTTTTAATTTCATTTCAGCAGCCACACACAGTCCGAGACATATTTGAAGCAGCCACTTTAAAGGGTTTGTTTTACAAGTTCAGCTCAGACGTTCCTGTTCAGTTTGCTTCTAATCCCATTTCCCTTGTGTAAATGTTCCCTGGTGTAACCTATTAAACTAGTGTTAAGAAGTGTTGTAATGTAACAAAGCAGGAATACTTTGTTACTATAATTAAGTAGAATGTTGACGTATCTTTACTTTACATTGTTATTTACATTTCTAACTACTTTCACTTTTACTCCAATACATTTCCCTTAACCATCTTAGTTGCTCGTTCCTACAATATAAAATTTGAAGAAATCTGATTGGGCAATGCCTGTTTGTTCTCCCAGTCTGTGACTTCACGCGGCCCCTTCTCTCCCCCTCACTGACACTCTCCCTCACAAACCCAGCCTCTCCCCCGCCGCTTGTGTGAAAACTGCGGTTCTCGCTGTGAACAAGCCAGATGCATATGCAGATATCAAATGTTACGATAGATCTCGCAGTGGAGCCACTGTAAATTCCTGATAGGTGTGAAAATGACGGTAGCTGCTAAAAAGGAGAGGATTGGTGTTCTCCAGGACGTTAACTGCTTTAGAGCAGCAAGGTGAAGTTGTCGGGCCGCTAGTCTTCCCATTAAAGAACACGGAAACAGATATCCAGTTTAGGGTGATTTATTTGCTGTGTTTCTTCTGGTATTTACACACAGCAGTAAACCAGTAAAGCACAAACAAGCTTGAACAACAAGGCTCCATCCGTGTCAGGAGAGAGAAAAAAAAAACAACCTCCAACTGAACAAGGCACTTTACACAGAGCGGTGCATTCACTAGCACTGGAAAAGCCACGATGCATTCAAGAGCATAGGAACTATTAAATTCAGTAAGAAACAAGCCATAACCAAACAGAGCCTAGCTCAGTAAATAAGCCAACTACACAACAATGTGGACTTTCTAACAGCTTTGTTAATAAAGGTTAATAAAGGTTGAATGAATATACTTCACTAGAATCAGACTTTTTAAAGAGCAATCTTTCATTGTTCAGTTCAAACTATCCAAGTTTTTATCATTGCACCCAATACATTTTGTTTTGGAAATTCTAACCATTCACTTTTACTTAATACTCTAAGTACAATTTTTATGAGAACTTTACTTTTGATACTTAAGTACATTAAATGACTTTTACTCAAGTAATAATTTTAAAGGAGACTTTAACTTTTACCAAAGTAACTTTACGGTAAGGTACTTGTACTTTCACTGAAGTGTCACTTTGAGGTACTTTATACAACGCTGGTGTTAAGAAGTGCTGCAGCCATCATCATCATCACCCTACCTGGGTACAAAGGTGTCAGTGAAGTCATAAAGGAGGTTGTTGCTTACGTGTTTATCTCGGACACAGATGACATCCATCCACTGCTCCCAGCACATCTGGATCCCCCACCTCCTCAAAGAAAACAGAGCTGTGATCACTGTTGACACCAGTTTTCACTCACCTGGCTGCGTTTAGGACAAGAAGTGTCAGACATATTAAAGCTGTAGCTGCTTCCCCACCAACCTCTGACCGTGTCTGAAATGATTCAGCCTCCAGATAAGTCACAAGCTTTTTACACATCAGCACTTTCCGAGAACTCATTTCCGCCAACCAGTTTTATTAACTATTAAAAAAAAAAAAAAAAACCCCACCAAAACAGAAGTAGCTGTTCCGCGTAAAAAAAAAAAATAAAAAAAACCCGTCTGCCCCGTGCCAACCGAGCTATTTTAGCTGGTTGGACACAAACCTGCACCCAGCTTCGGTATTCTCTTTACCGCTCGACACGTAAATGATATTTAAAAAGCAGACTGAGAACAAACCGAGTGTACCTGCGAATGCAACGACTCTTTCAGCCCTGCTTTATAATCTCCCGTTTTTTTATTGTTTTTTTACTTCGACTTCTTTATCCTTTTTTTTCTTTTTTCCTCTATCACGTGACTGAAAAGGATGCGCTTGCTGTGTGTTAAGCGAACAGTTTAAGTGGGCGGGGTCATCCGCAGAACTCCACTGCCGTCGGGGTAACGCGTCAAATGTCCGGATAAGCGGTAACTTAAAACAATGCGCACCTCGTATTTTTTTGCCCTTGGAAAAATGTGTTTCCTGGAACAGCTGTCCGCTCCTACACCTTCAAGGAAAAAGCGTCAGTGGAGTGTTGACCACTGGGTTGGAGCTATTTTTGTGGCCATATCAGCTTATTTTAACTATTAAAAACATAACTTTTAAACAAAATCTGTATTCCTACTCTGTGAAGCCTGCTCTGTCACAGTTTGCTTTCTTTTAATCAACCATTTTAGCACAAACCACAAGAGGATCCGAAATGTTCCTCTATTTAAACAAAAAAACAAACAAACAAAAAAACGGACGTACATTATAGTTTTTCCAGAGTCATACTGATGAGAGAAAGGATGAATATAGAGAATATCAGCAAGCCAAATAGCAAATATGAAGCAGTATAAAAACAAGATGCAGCTAGATTGGTAAAAAAAAAAAAAAAAAAAAATTTAAATATGTGACAAAGAAAAAAATGACACTGCCTGATTGTTTGCTACCTAATAAGTTGTTTGATATGATTTACATTTGTAAATTGTTTTGCTTATGGGCTATCCCTATACAAGCGGTGCGAGAGTTTGGTTCACATTGCCGGTAGTAAGTCAGACCCCTTCAAGGTGGGAGATGGACTCTGCCAGGGCTGCCCGTTGTCACCGATTCTGTTCATAACATCATTTCTAGGTGCAGCCAGGGGGCGGAGGGATTCTGGTTCGGCGGCCTCATGATTCCAACTCTGCTCTTTGCAGATGATGTTGTCCTGTTGGCATCATCATGCTGTGATCTCACTGGAGCTGTTCGCAGCCGAGTGTGAAGCAGCTCGGATGAAAATCAGCACCTCCAAATCTGAGGCCATGGTCCTCAGTCAGAAAAGGGTGGATTGCTCTCTTCAGGTCGAGGGTGAGGTTCTGCCTCAAATGGAGGAGTTCAAGTATCTTGGGGGTTTGTGAGTGAGGGAAGAATGGAGCGTGAGATTGGCAGATGGATTGGTTCAGCAGTATTGCAGAATTTGTGCTGGTCCGTTGTGGTGAAGAGAGAGCTGAGCTGTAAGGCAAAGCTTTCTGTTTACCGGTCGGTCTACGTTCCTGTACTTATTATGGTCTCGAGCAGGGACGGCTGGTATAAGTGGGCTAGTAGGGTCAAGCCCTCCCTGGCTGGCATTTACAATAAAGATGTTAAAATAAACAACTTAAAAATAACAACTTAAAATAATACATTTTTTAAATAATTTATCACATTTTGTTAAATTTACAGGCAGCATGGTGGCGCAACTGGTAGAGCTGCTGTCTCTCAGCGAGCAGGTCCTTGATTCAAACCTCGGTTCAGGGGCCTTTCTGGGTGGAGTTTGCATGTTCTCTCCGTGCATGCGTGGGTTTCCTCCGGGTGCTCCGGTTTCCTCCCACAGACCAAAAACATGCATGTTAGACTGATTGGTAACTCTAAATTGTCCCTAGGTGTGAGTGAGAGAGTGAATGGTTGTTTGTCTCGTTTGTCTCTATGTGGCCCTGTGATGGACTTGCGACCCATCCAGGGTGTACCCTGCCTCTCGCACAGTGATTGCTGGACATGGGCACCAGCGACCCCCGTGACCCAAAATGGAATAAGCGGGTTAAGATAATGGATGGATGGATGGATGGATGGATGTTAAATTTACAACAAAACAGGTGTAAACCCGCCTGGGGAAAATCCCAGAGTCGTTCCAAAGGGCTAAATTCTGACAGCCCCGTTCTGTTACTGTCTGTCATGGTTCAGAATGATTGACGGACGTCTTGCCACGCCCCCTCGATTTGCAGCTCATTGGGGCTAATTTTGGTCAGCCCAGGGTCAGCCCAGGGTCACAGGATTCATGCAATGAGGACGGACGTACAATAACGTACCTCGAGTGTATGTGGAGCAATATTAGCATAACGAGGTGGATTATTTAATCAATAACCCCTTTTGCTTAATGTCTATTGAGGAAAAACTGGAAGTGAGGAGGTTGGGGCCGGACAGACCTGAGCATATTCAAATCCAGGAAAGAGAAAAACGGCAAAACCGGAGTTTCTCTGTGACCTGGTTTCAACGGAAGGAGTGGCTAACAGCAAGTGTAGCTAAAACCTCTTTTCTGCTTCTCTGCCATTGTGTGATTCTGCTCATTGTTCTGCTCTTTTTATTTCCCCATTCCTGGCTTTCATGTCCTTATGGCTGATGGGGGACACCTGTGTGAGCTCAGTGTCTCTGGCCATGTCATGGGTGACAGCCTCCAAAAAAAAAAAAGCACAATAAATGATCAGCAAGGTAACATGCAACACAATCCCTAATGAACCCAAAATAGATAAATCAATAATGCAGCAAAGTTAATTAAAACATGCAAATAACAAAAATGTCATATTACTACACACATGTGTGTGTGTGTATACTGTCTATTTTGGAGTTATACCCCCGGTGGAAATTCTATGAGCCGCCACTGGTCATGACGAGCTCTGGGTAATGACCAAAAGAATGAGATCACAGATACAGGCAGTTGAAATGAGTTTCCTCTGCAGGGTGTGGACTCTCCCTTACAGATAGGATGAGAAGTTCAGTTATCTGGGAGAGACTTGGGGTAGAAGCGCTGCTCTTCTACATAGAGAGGAGCAAGTTGAGGTGGTTCGGGCATCTGGTAAGGATGCTCCTTGGGTGCCTTCTTAGAGAGGTGCTTCGGGCATGTCTGAGTGAGAGGAGACCTCGGGGAAGGCCCAGGACATGCTGGACAGACTATGTCTCACAGTTGGCATGGGAACGCCTTGGAGTCCTCCCAGAAGAGCTGGAAGAGGTGGTTGTGGAAAGAGATGTCTGGTCCTCCCTGCTCAAGCTGCTGCCCCCACAACCCGACTTCGGAACAAGCAGAAGGTAATGGATGGAATTATTTTGCTGCGTGAATGTCAAGATGAAGGTGAAAATACAGAATAATTACATATAAACAACAATGCTGTTGTCCTCTACAAAGCAGCAAATATGTACAAATCATCATGGCTCAAAATTACATAAAACTGTAAAAATCTTGAAAATAAACTAAATCCACACGTGCACGTGTAATTAAGGAAGGCTTTACCAAATTAAAACTGCAATAATGTAGAGCTGCACTCAATAGAACAATGCTGGGTGCAGTCTAAACCTTGGAGGCTCAGTAAGTCTTTTGGAAAGTCCAGCCTTGGGTCCAATGATGGTATTTTGTTTTTACCAAAGTGTTACAGATCTAAGATGTGTTTACAGTCTCTAACTTCTCTCTATTACCCAGCCTGACAAGTTCTTATTCCAACCTTCCTTATTAGATGATATCTTACCTGAGTGAAAGTTGTAACTCTAAACCGTTCATAAATAACAGGTGGTATTTAATTATGTAATAAAAATAAAAAGTACATACCTCGGATGAATCCAGTAGCTAAAGGGCATTTTGCTAACATTAAAATACATATACGTATAAAGAGGTTTTTGAAAACTGTTTTCAGGAGGCATTGCACACATTATTTATTAGTTGATTCATAAAGAAATTAGGTTTTTAATTAATTGAAATAGCCATATCCCTTAGAAAACGGTACTTTTATTAAATGCTGGTGCATATTTTCCCATAGGATGTGTCATTTTAGGTGGCACAGCTTTTACCACATTTTAATATTTCAACTTAAGCATTGCAGCTTTTCTTGCATTTCCAGTAATTCATCTTGGGCAACACAGATTTCCCCGCATTCACAGTATTTCATTTGAGGCGGTGCAGCTTTTCCCGCATTTACAGCAATGTTCACGTCTCGCTGGTGGAGTCTGTCTGCAGTCGTATATTCTGGATCTTTACTAGAGAAAGAAAATCTGTAGGCAGATTTCTCTGATATTTATTTGAAGGCTGCTGGTCTAGTTGCTCTGAGTGCCTTGAGTTATTTTTTTGTTTTCTAATTTGCTCTTCATTTCTGTCTTTAAATCACTTTTATTTCACATGTTAGCAATGCATTTTCTAAATTACTCTGTAGGCCTTTTAAAAGTCAGATTTTTTTCTACTTCTTGTATTAGCAAAAAATACAACACATATTTTTGTTGTTAGAAAAGAGCAGATTCTCATACATTACAAAAACAGCTGTACAACGCACTTCTGCCTGCAGTTGTGTGATGTGCTCAAGGGCAACAAGGCAGCGTTAAACATGCATTTTTTTTCTGCAGACTTCACAGCAGATTGTTTCCAGTTCATGGGTTTGAACTAAAGAGATTTCTTTCTCAAAACTGCTTATTTGTCCTTCAGGCAGCTGCTGCACCATCTCTGTAACTTTAGCCTTCATTGTGATTGCTACAGCCTGCCATGGTCTTTGTGACCCATAAGCCAGCACGAGTTTGTCAAAATATCTTCTGCAGGCACTTTATGGCCTCCAGCAGTGCCATTTTCCTATCTCATCACGCTAATCCTCAAATAGATGCAACGACTGATCGCATTTACTGTACATTTCTTCTTCAGGACCGCTGCAGTCGGTTTGATTTTCTCTATTTGGCACTCCGTTCACCGAGTCACAATACTGTGAGTGATTAGTCGCCAAGAACAGTTTCTTAAATCCAAAGATAGAAACTAAAACGTAGATAAAAATCAGCATTTGAATTATTGTTTAAACTAGACACATACACCAATTCTGAGTGCAAAGTGTTTACTTCCCACAAGTCATTTCCAGAAAGTCTGAGCACAAAACAAAACATCACTGAGCTTTCCAGTCCAGTCGTGTTTCTAGTCATGATTTGAGTCCGTGTCCGCTGAGAAGAAAGAGGTGACGTTTACACAGTTCATATCTGAGCCTGGTGAGACGCTTCATGTTGCGTTCTTTCCGTTTTCACCTACAAACGCATTATTCTCCAGCACTGCCTACCAATGTATGCTTGGAGTTTGATCCTTTTCATCAGCTAAATAATGATTAGTGTTGAC